TTTTGAAGTAAACTTAAATTTTTAACTATCTCTAATTTTTCTATTTATTTACTTGCTTATTATATCCAAAGACTTTACTTTCCGCTTCATTACCAGCACTTTTCTATACTCTATTGTACATTTTACTACCACTTGTATTTGTTGTTGCTTATTTTGAATTAACAGCTTTTTGTGCAATTCTCTGCTCTTTACAATCTTTGCTTTACTCGTTTATTTTTTAATTGTTATTTGGTTTTTTCCATAATTTCCAATATTGCCTATTTACTTTTCAATATGCTGCGGCCTATTGTAATTAGCCTCTAGCGCTAAACAACAAAGCAAAGGCAATAAAAAAATGTAGAAAAATACTAAACAAATAAATAATCAGAAAAAGGTCGCGGCATAATAAAACTGGGAAGTTGGTGATTTTTTTCTTGCTGTGGCACTGAGTGGTTTTCAATAGCGTGAAATTCGCTTTAATGCAAAATTACCGCCTTTTTCCGACTTTAGCCTTTTGCAATTATTGTTACTATTATTGTTATTATTATTGTTATTATTTTTCTCCTTTTTTTCTTTTTTTGAGATATTAATTTTGCATAGGCCTATTGATTATTGAGGCCATGCAAAGCTTTTGTGCCGAACTTTTGTAATGAGACTTTGTTACTGTTTTTTTTTGTTGTTTGATATTGTTTTGATACTTGAACATCTCACAAAGCGAAGCAAAATTTGTTAGCAGAAATATTCTACTTTGACTGAAGTTTTACTTAACTTTTAATTTTGCAGTTAGTTTATAACTTTTGAAATTTTATCATCTTTAAATATACATACATATGCATATCAAAAAATTTTAAACTACATATAAATATATATATTTCTCCGAAATATTTAGTAACTGTCTACTGAAACTTTCAAAGCAAGCATTTATATGTTATTTTCATCCTACTCATCATCTGATCAAATTTGACCCGGACTGACCAAAAAAGTATATTTGCACGTATTTTAACACACAAATTTAAACCGCTTGCAGCAAATACTCTTCACTGTGATATGAAGGTTTTTAAATCAATAACTTCATTTTACTTGAATCTATATGCAGTATTTAAAGGTACAGGTTCCCTTCGCGACATATCTCTCAAACTAGCAGACCAAAGCAGACCAAATTGTATGACAATTATGTGCACTATACTTGAACAAATTACCAACTAGAGGCTTTACTTAGATCACTGTCTATATTTATCGAAATTAGTATCTATCCCGGGAACCATTTAAAAGCTACTTTTATAGAAAAATGTCAAGAGAGATATCTGTCAAACTGTCTGTCAAAAAGAACTGCAGTGTTTGACGTTATGCTTAGAAAAATTGCTATATAAATACTCAACCTAGAGTACTTTCTACCTACAGCTATATTCGTTAGGTAATGATCAAAGTAGTAAGATTTTTGATAATATTATCGATTTTTAAACCACTCTAAAGTGTATTTTACTCACAAAATGGCTACTTTTTTGGGAAGCTGTCATCTGGGGACTATATTGAGGTAGCGTAGTGGGTGACCGTCCGACCGATTGCACTATATGTTGCCAACAACGTTTCTTTATCCTTTCCCCAGGTGCTGCCGGCTAGCGAATTTTTTAGCGGCTCTATTCTTTTTCAATAATCGCAGTCATATGTGGAATGAGGTAGAGTGCAGACTGTCAAATGGAACGCCTAAACTCGGAAGGATTGATGACAGTCCAAATTTTGTTGCCATCACCTGTAGTTTTAAGATCCGGTCTATACTCCTTCGTTGAACTCGTGAAAATCATAGCTAGACTTTTATTGTGGATTGTTTATTGTTGGTTAAGAATATCAGTCTTGTTTTTTTTTTTTTTTGTTTTTTAGAGAAGAAGCGGTAAAGTTCGACGAGATAGCTGTTTATTTTTGAATACATATGAGCAATTCCTTTACTTAACCTCAATATCGTACAATCTACATATAAAGTGATGGAAATTCTCTCTGGTGGTTGCGGGATTTTCGAAATATAGACCTTAAACAAAAGAGAGAAAAAGAGACCAACCTGTGGAATCTGTTAATTCTTCTTAACTGAACTTTTTTTGATTTAGAATTTAGTTTCGCTTAATTTAGAATTTTATCAACGAAAGCGTACCGGTGACTGCCGACCGTTGATATAATGCATGGTACCTTTCTAGCCCTCGAAGAAGCGTGCATTGTTCGATGTTCTCTAGTAGCGCTCTGTGATTGACGCTCCTAGGGTCGTCCTATTCTGGGCAAATTGTAGATCTAGGCCACGAACTATCTTGATGTTAACAACGCCAAGTTTGTGACGGTGCTTTGCACTTGCCGAAAGCCAAGTTGCTGCTCTGTTGATGACTGAAGATCGGCTGAAAATAATAAAACCACAAGTATCTGCAGTGCTAGGGAAAAGCGAATTATCGGGCGATCTAACTCCTTAAGATTGCTGAGTGTGGCGGATTTCAAATGGGAGACGACTCATTCATGTATATGAAAAGTTGTCGGCGATGAGTTGAGGACCTGGGTTAGATATCTTAAACCCGTCCAGACTTCGCAGGTCCTTATGCAGAACGACTACGGGATCAAGGAGATCCAGAGTGTTAACGGGTGATAAGGCTCCCTTGGATTCTCGGGTTTCTGATTTCAGAGAGAGGACCACACGTTCGACTTTCCACACATCGTGTATATGAAAAGTGATCAGCGATAGGTTGAGAGCTTTGGTTACATAAGTAAATGCCGTTCTTCTTTCCTTATGAATAATGGCTACGGGATCAAGGAGATCCAAATTAAGTTCTCATTTCGCATACATTTCTGTTCCCTGTCAATTTCTTTTCTGCTCCCTGTCAATTTCTTTGTCATAATTTAGCACTTTAACTTTAAGAAGTTCTTAAAATTTCACTTTTTATGCACTAAGCACCCCCATCACCCTGTTCCATAAATCCGCTGTGTACTTAATGCCTTTGACATACATATTACATGCGCTCGAAACAAAGAGTAACACACTAATCCCGAAACTAATTAAGTTATTTATAAAACAACAAAGAAATATAATTGAAAGTGCACATGCCAACGCCAATGCTCAAGCGCCTTGTCGCCACTGCCGATTTGCCTTCATTCACCAAATGCATGGCACGAACCAAAGGCAGCCGCGGCCGACGAGCTGCTGTCATTCATGCGGATCATTTCATAAACGCATTCATATTTTTAAAACTTTATTGTTGGTTTAATCCACAACTAAATATAACGAAAAAGCATTTCACAAAAACAAAG